CTCTCTCTCTCCACTCTATACTACGTACAACTACTCTCTCTCTCTCTCTCTCTCTCTCCATTCATAACTACGTACAACTCTCTCTCTCTCTCTCTCTCTCTGTGCAATTAGATACGCTGGTTTTGCTGGCTCTGCTTTCCAGGTCTGCAAATCAAGATGTTTCACCAGTGACCATAGTAATGCAAAACTGGGTTTGATTTCACATATACTTTGTCCCTCGGCAAACTCAGCTTCCCGATCCCAAAAAGAAATGCAAAGAAATCCAAAGTGGGTTTTAAGCACTGCCCGTGTAAAAACAGACCACAGGGATTTCAATCCATCAATAGCCATTCCCTAAACAAGCCAAATACATACATATATGGAACTCACTACTCATATACATGAAACTCTTTATAGAAAATTTTTGAAGTACCCTATGACGACCGGATACCAGAACATCTTACATTAGCCATGATATTACATATGGGTTAGCATTGGATGCTTCCTATGGTAGGTAAGCTAAGAGGGCTTGTTTTGCAGGAAGAGATAAACACCATGAAAAAAAGGCCTCTTTTATTAGAAGTGAGAGAGAGAGAAACCAACAAAATCTATGTACCCACAGCAAATTGCCTCTGGGCAAAAGTTACTGGGGCAGCATATCTCATGGACCAAGAGACCAGAAGCCGATGACAAGCTTGAGCAAAAGCTGAGCAAACCACCATGCTGGCAACCCAACCAAACCTAATCATCAAGAATGGGTCTCTTCTCAAATTATTCAGTCCCTTTTTAAAGATCAGTTTTAGCCGGCGGTCTCTAAGACAAGCCTGATATATAGGCAATTGCACTCTGAGAGACTCATCCATCTGCAAGTTTTGGCTAACCATGTGAGGCTGACAAGCAGCAAATGCCCACTCATAAATCACATCAGCAAGGACCATGCCAAATTGATGCCGGAAGGGGGCCGCCTCCTTGGAAACTAGAGCTCTTACTAGTGATCCTGTATCCTGGTTTCAATATCACAAAGTGAACTTTATGGTTTTTTACCTTGATGAACCAATGGACAACGGTATATGGTACTTCAGGTCAGCATCTACTGTCTGTTCCCACTGACGGATGGTTGGAGATTAACGAGAGGGAAAACCACTTAACCAAGAAAAAAACTAGAGCGGAACCCAGACAATCCAATGGTCTACTATACATGGTACTCTCAAGCCACCTGTTCTGACACAACAGCTGGTCAGAGATTAACCTTGAATGCTCATGCGGGACCCACTCTAGTACCATTTACCATAATCCAATGGACTATGTATAGTACCATTTACCATAATCCAATGGACTATGTATACCGTCCTGAGGAGAAATGCAACCCACCCACAATGAAAGAAAAAAAAGAAAGGAAAGATAAAACGACAAGTCATATACCGCAGTCATTAATAGCCTTCTCAAAACCATGCCGTCTTTAGAGGGTAAAAGCTTCAGAATGAGATTTGCAACTTGGAAAATATTGCTTTGTCCAATAACAGCAAGGTTGATAGAAGTATCACCATCAGTAGTAGTGATCAAACCATTGCTTTTCCTGATACGAAGATGAATGCATTTAACAATTTTAGATGTATTTCAGGATATTTGACCACCAACAAGTATCTTATCTTTCAGAAGCGCATTTAAATCTGTAACCGAATGACAATATAATCACATTACAGAGTTTCAGTAGAAGAGGAGAGAGAGCATGAGAGATATCAAACATTTTGAGGACTAAAAACTATAATTTGTGCTTTATGAGAACTCATCAAAAAACACTACCATGAAAAGTCAGTCACAGAGTATAAGGGTGTAGAAGACCTGAGAATGCCTTGGGAGTATGCAAAAGAGACGTCCCCAAATAATAAACAACCACCCAAAGTTCCTTAACAAAGAACACAAAAAATCTAACAAAATCGAACACTATCATGATGCAGATATGATATACCACTAGAAGTTCCATTTTGGCAGGTGAAAGATATCATTGTATTTAAGCCTCTAATGTCATATCAGTAAAGCATAGGTTACCTATATTTAGTTGCACCTATTTTCACGAACAATGCCAGTTTCTTCCATTGAAGTTCCTTCCGTGCATTGAAAACCACCTGAAATTGAAAATTTCTTAGGGAAATTATAAAACAAATGAAAGCTCCTCATTCATGGGAAACCGGACAAAATATGAATTTGCCATCTGTGCTAAAAATGTGTTCTCAGATGACAGTGGAACTTGATTAAAGGAAACGCTTTGAACCCAACAAAAAAGGGAAAGCAGAATAAATGAAGGATTATGGCACAACCATAACTAATTGGGTCATCAATGTCAACAACCATAGGTGATGACCCTTAATTAGGTCATCAACATCCATTAAATAATGCCCAGCGATAGAGAGTGGGATCCTGGAGCCATGTCTTACTAAGGACTGGCAACGGTCGGGGCCTGGGCCTGGGCTAATAATGAAAAAAAAAGAGAAGAAGAAGAAGAAGACAAGAAATTCAAAAAACAAAGAAAAATATACAGCCAGGCAGGGCCGGCCCTATCATAGCCAAGGCCCAGTCCCGGCCCTATCATAGCCAAGGCCCAGTCCCGGCCTTAGGCCACATTTATGCAAACCCGACTCTTTCAGGGCTGGGCCTCCCAGACCATTGCCAGGCCCAGTCTTAATCTTCTGGGTTGTACTCTGTCTCCTTCACCATGCATCATTCACAGATGGTGATGACCAACGGTCAATTGTTTTCCATATTACATTGCAGTATGCTCTACGTCATCCCACGAAAGTGGTGAAAGATGGATACCGAGTGTAAGATTCTCCTCATAGAAACTGAATTATCCGTAAGGAGTTTTTGAACAACATATGGATATGCAGCTTGGAATGTCTTAAAAGTTGGATCTACAGCCACAGCCAATCCTGAGACGCACAGAAATGATTAGCTTTCTCAATGTTGTAAAATGGATAACCACTGATGAGGAAAAAATTGATTAAAAGAAAAAAAAACAATGTAGTTCATGAGCAACATCATTAACTGCAATATCCACTTGAAACCAACTCCTGATGTGGTCATTGGATTTCAGCAAAAGTTAGAACGCATAAATAGATGAATAGATGAAGATAACTAGGAGAAATTATCAGCATAGTCAAGCTTGTTAGCATGCTCATTTAAATTTTACTGAAGTCACAGTGCAAGACATTCATAGTTTGGAAATGTAAAAGTAAGAAAATATTTATGTAATTATAATATCGAAAATCAGTTGTGTCCATTGTCCAGTGTTAACTAGTCTCCTTCATTGAAGTCTTCAGCACCAATGATTTTTTTTTCTCTTTTCTTGCATCATTTTTAAATTTTTTCTTTTTTGGATTTTCACTTCTTTTTTAATGTGTTGACTGTATAAATCTAAAAGTGAGTACAGAGTGTGTGAAAGGAGGGGAACAGGATACCCATAGACAGGCTCTGCCCAAAAAATAGGCAACCCACATACAGGTGCCCTGTATAAAATCTCTCGTCTATCAAAAATGCTTTACATTAATTGGATCACTAAGGGGTCAAATCCAGTCTATGATAGGAAACGGAGCATAACAGTCCCCTAGGGGTGACTTAAATTGGCGTGAGACACAGCTGCAGCTGCCTTTGCAAGGGAATCAGCCTCACCATTTGCTTCTCTCCAAACGGGATTCCAAGAGATATGTAGGTTTCTGGTGGTTTGACAGATGTCCTTGAAAATGCTGTCGAACCTCCAAGGCCACGGGGCAGTGCCTAAAGCCCAAGCTATAACACAGTACGAGTCCCCTTCGATGGTAACCAACTGCCCCCAGCTAGTGTATAATTTCCTGAGGCCTTCCCGGGGGGGCAGAGGCCTCCGCAACAGTTGAATCTGAGATGCCAATAGGAATCGAAAAGGAGTAAAGGGTATTGCTGTTGTGGTCGCGGAACATGCCACCTATGCCTGCAAGTCCAGGATTTCCGAGAGAACACCCGTCAAAGTTAAGTTTCATGGCCTGCTTCAGGTGGTGTCCAGAGGGACGCGCACAGGGGCCCCTGAGGATTGAAGGCAAGAATTGAAGTCCAGTTGTGTAGAAAATCAGAGTGGCAAAGATTTCTGAAAATTTTGTGGTGGCTGGCACAGAAAATGACCGCAGCTCCAATCTTTTCTACTAGTGCATCCAACAAAGACATTTGGCTACGAAATATCCTGGCATTTTTTTCAGTCCAAATTGTCCAAAGAGTGGCAGCGGCCAATGCCTGCTACAGCAGAGTGCCGGCCTTTGGCCATGGGGGTGAGAAGGTTGAGCTTAGGAGGTTAGGGAGATCAGGTGGAGTCACCCATTGCCATTGGAATAAATGGAGGATGTCGGCCCAAATTGATGAGGCTAACTTGCAATGGATAAGGGATGCGCATTGATCTCCTCGTCTTCAATACACATAATGCATCTGTTTGGGATTGGAGTCCCTTTCTTTGTAATTGATCCACTATGAGGGCTCTCTCGGACCACAATCCAATTGAAGAATTGAATACCAAAGGAATCCATACTTTGTTTACAATAGAAGTGGGGCAGAGGGGGAGACTTCTTGGGTGAGCTAGCGAGGAGTCAAGAGAGGCCATCAAGAAGGAACCCGAGTGGTTAGGGGTCCAAATAAGACTGTCTTGCCCCCGTAGAGGCAAAAAAACAAAATTTATGGCACTAGAGAGGGCTGTGAAATCTTGAAGTTCAAGGTCCGAAAGGGGTCGTCTGAGGATGGGACTCAACACCCTTCTATTACCCATCAGCTGGAATTGGGATTCCACAGTGGCATTAGTCATTGGCCAGCAAGAAGAGTCTAGGGTAGAGGTCTTTTAGGGGTGCATTCTCCAGCCAAATATCTATCCAAAACAGAGTTTTGGCGCCCTGCCTAAGCCTGTATCTGATCTTGGACACAATGTGTGGGTATGAGAGCAGTAAGGATTTCCAAATCCCAGAAGAGTTGCTATGAGCTCAAGAGGGGTCGGGACTTCTGTATAGAGAGTATACCACCTCCTGCCACAGATGGTTGTTTTGGGTGGCTAGATGCCACCACCATTTCCCGAGAAGAGCAAGGTTGTTATCTTTGAGTTTTCAAATACCCAGCCCCCCTAGAGATTTCAGTTTGCAGACATTCTGCCATGAGATAAGGTGGATCTTCCTTTCCTCATTACTATACTACAAGAAGTTTCTCATTAGCTTCTCCAAACGGTGGGCCACCAAAGCTGGCATATGGAATAGTGACATCGGAAAAATGGGGGTGCTTGAGAGGGTGGCTTTGATCAGGGTAAGGCGCCAGCCGGAGAAAGGAATCTGCCTTTCCACCCTGCCAATCTTCGGTCATATTAGTCTATGATATGGCCCCAAAGGTTCAGTCTAGGCTTTCCTATGCCAATGGGTAGTCCCAGGTAAGAGGATGGCAGGTCCTCCAAGGCAAAGCCCCAGTTTGAAGCGACGTTTCTCACAATGGAAGGGTCCAAGGCCACATCACTCCTCTTAGATTCGACCACAATGGAAGGGTCCAAGGCCACACCACTCATCTTAGATTTGACCTTATCGACCTTAAGGCCAGTAGTAATCTCAAATAACTTGAGGAAACGATGAAGATTGTCCAGTTGTGCCTGCGATGCCTCTCAAGACAACAAGGTATCGTCGGCGTATTGTAGGTGAGTAATCAGCTGTCCTGAATTGCTGATTTTGAATCCATTGAACAAGCCGGCCTGGTAAACACGAGAGATTGATCTGCTGAAAATTTCTGCTACAATCGCAAACAAAAAGGGAGAGAGAGAGGATCTCCCTGGCGGAGTCCCTAGAGGAAGGAAAGAAGCCTTTGGGGGAGCCGTTGATTAGAATGGAAAAGTGTGGGCCTTAAATGCAACCTTTGATCCAGGCTCTCCATCGATTACCGAAGCCCATACTGCGAAGAGTCTCGTCTAGGATGGACCAATCAACATGGTCGTAGGCTTTCTCCCAATCGAGTTTGATTATTAATCTGGCATAATGCCGAGAATGGAGAGCCTCATGGGCAACGAAAGCACCGTCATGTATTTGTCGCTCTTTAACAAAAGAGCATTGGGTTGGCGAGATTACCGAGCTAAGGACCTCTCGTGGTCTCGAAGCACGCAGTTTGCCAAGAATCTTGTAAGAGCTATTGATCAAACTGATCGGTCCAAAGTCTTTGAGTTCTTCCACGCCCTCGACTTTAGGAAGAAGCGCTATAAATGTGGCGTTTATTGCACAATGAATGATCCCTCTAAAATGGAATTCATGGAAGAAGGCGAGAATATCCTCTCTTAGAGATGCCCAAAAAGTCTTAAAGATGGCGATCGGAAATCCGTCAGGACCCGGGGCTCTATCTTGGCCAAGATCAGAGATTGCCTTTAAGATCCTGGACTCTTCAAATGGCCTCTCAAGCCAACCAGCAGCAGTGGGAGTGATGGTTTGGAAACAAAGGTCTTCCAGAAACGGTCTAGGGCCTCTGGGTGCCTCAAAGAGTTTCTGGAAGTAATCAGTGATTGCCTCTTCAATCAAATAAGATTCATTGAGCACAGTTTCACCCACTTTAATCTGAGTGATAGTATTATCCCTTCTCCTGCAATTAGCTATTTTGTGGAAAAAACTGGTGTTGAGGTCACCGTGCTTGTGCCATTTCACTCTTGAAGAGAATTTCCTCAGTAGAGAGGACCCATTTTACTCTTGAGAGGACCCAAAAACTTTCCTCTTTCTTCAAGAGGATTTGGAGTTCAAACTTGGCATTGGATCGACGAGATCTCTCGTTGTCTACAAGAGGACAAATCTCCTGTGTAGAGTCCCACAACTGGATCGAGTGGAGTGGAGTAGCCTTTTGGGACCGAAAGTTACCTGGCAGTAAGGCAATCCAAGCTTTGAGGGATTCCTTAAGACATTGAAGCTTCTTTTGGAGTCGAAAGCCAGCCCAACTGTGGACTTGGCTGGAGAAACAGGTCCACCAAGTGTGGAAAAGGTTATAGAAGTTACTCTCCTCTAACCATGCCAGCTCGAACCTGAAGGGCTTGGAAATGCGAAGGGCTGGAACAGTGTCTAACAAAATAGGGTAATGGTCTGAAGTGGGCTTAGGGAGGGCAAGGGAATGAGAACCAGGGAATTCGGCATCACAGTCCAAAGATATAAGATATCGATCCAGTTTTAAAAGGGTGGGGTTGATGGAATAGTCTGACCAAGCGAAAGAGGCTCCCTGGAGCGGCAGGCCAATAAGTTCAAGCCTTGATAGAAGATCAGAAAATTTAGTCATTGATTGGGAGACCGTCAAGTTAGAGTTCCGTTCGAAAGACTATCTTGTGGTGTTGAAATCTCCACCAATGCACCAACAGTGCGGAGGGGCCCAAGCCTCTCAAGACAGTTCCTCCCAGAAGCGGGGTCTAATTGACGAGGAGTTGGGACCATTAACAGCAGTGAATTTCCATGGAAAGAAGCCAGAGGCTCTCTCTAGCGAGATGGAAACCGAGAAGTCGCCAACTCTAGACGTTAGCAAGATGTTGAGGGTTGGGTCCCAGATGACCCAAATCCCACCCGACACCCCTTGGGCATCTAGGGCCACCCATTGACAAGGTCTAGACAAGGTCTAGACCCCCAAACCGATTGAATGAGAGAGAGGGAAGGTCCAGGGAGTTTAGTTTCGTCCAAAGCTAAAATAGAGGGGGAATGAAAAGAGGCAAAATTGTGAACGTGACTGCGTTTTCGGGGGCTGCCCAAATCCCTGATATTCCAAGTCAGAATCTTCATGAGGGAAGTTGGTGGGAAGAGGAAGGGGGGGGGGGGGTTTGCGAATCTGGATGATCGTCGGGAAGAGGATAAATTGGAAGAGGTCCCCTGATCTCTAGCCAGAGTCTGACCGTAGTTGATCTCACAGGCCAAATTTGCGAGTTCTCATTTGCCCTTTGCCGATGTCTTGGGTTGAATCTTTTGGTCAGGAAAAACAAAAGTATTGAGGATCTCTTGGGGCCTATTAAAATCCACACCCGTGACCTTCATGACAAAATGAATGTTTCCCTGAGCTTTGTCCATGTAGTTAGCAAAAGATGAACTAACAGGGGCGAAAGAGGCCTCGAACTCAGACCCAGCAGAAGATGGGCTGAGGCAATAAGGGATGGATGAGCTGCCTATGTCCTCAGTAGTAGGAAGGGGGTTATGAGGCTCCACAAGTGCAGTGTCCTGCCGCGAAGAGGTTGAGAGATGGTCTACATCAGTTGCCAGACCATGAGAGGGAGGTGAGAGAGGGAGGCGAGAGAGGGGAAGAAAACTGGCAAGGGTTAGGGAACAGAAGTTGCCCAGAAGCTGGCAAACCTGAAGGCTCAAGCGAAGAAGCCGGCAAGAGAAAGTAGGGGTTAAAACCGGCGGGAGAAGGGAAAGAACGAGAGGAGGGGAGAGGATGAGGCAGGCCGACAAACGTGGCAGGCCCAAGAAATGGGGGTTGTAGCAGAGGGGGAGACGGCAAAGGTTGGAAGGATAAAGGCCAGCCAAACACAGGTAAAAAGGGAGGGAAGAAGCGAGGAAGAGAGATGGGAGGAGGGGGAAGAGGAGAGGTTCAAGGTTGCTGGGAAGAGGATAAGAAAAGGGTGAAAGATTGAGGGGTAAAGGGTGAGAAAGAGGGGAAGGCTTAGGTGAAAGAGAGGGATAGAGAGAAAGGTAGGAGAAGAAAGGTCAATGACTGGTGGGAGAGCTAGGCTTACTGTCAACGGGGGCAGGCAGGTTATCTCGGTCGCCGGTGGAGAGGCGTGGTTCGAGGGTTTCTAGATAGGTGAAGAAGGGGCAGCCAAAGGAAGATCACCCACGAACGAAGATGGAGTAGGCCAGGGTCCAGAGGGGTGGGACCAAGAGGGCGAGGGTGAATTCGAAAGAGCCAGTGCATGCGGTGCGAGGGTTTGAGAAGGTTCCTTGGGATCAGACAGAGAAGGGCCCCCCAGGGGAGGGCAGACAAGTGTAAAGGATGTCCAAGGAAAGGAGGAGAGATGGATGGCTCGTCAAGCAAGGAGGGTTGAGACAGACGGTGATGAGGGCTGGAACGTGGAAAGGTTGGAGAAGGTGATGGGGAAGGGACAAAAAGAGGCCTGTGAGGTGGCGGTAAAGAGGCGGGAGGCTCAAAGGTTGAGGCAGGGTACACAGCATTGGCAACAGGCTGCAAGTGAGCGACAAATGCCAGCTCAAAAGTGGCAGATGTCAGGGGAGGGTACAGTTGGGTGCCAGGTGGCGTGTTGACCCCTGCTTCCTCCGGATGGGTTCCGCGAGATGGTTGCTATGGACGAGGCCTCGCGGGAGTAGGGCCAAGTGGAACCTTAGACACCCGACGATTGTAGAATCTACAGTTGCGATTTGGTGGACGCCATCGACCACGACGCATAGTAGTCCAACCATCCGGATTTGCGTGCTGATCATGCAACTTGGGAGGGCTCTGTTGTGATCCAGGGTGAAGGTCCTGGACATGGCGGATGGCAGCACGAGAGGCTGCGAACCAAGTAAGGGAAACCCGAAAAAACAAGCCTTCTATTTCGAGCCAGAGGAACAAAGGGATGAAGTAGGGGTCTACAGTATCAAGGAGGATTCGGATAGTACCCAGGGGTAGGACCTCAAGGGATTTCCAGTGGGTAGAAATGAACACCCTGCAGGCATCACCAATTATCTTGAAAGTTGATTGATGCCAAGCCTGAAGAGGGATGCAAGAGATTCCTAACCACACCCTGAGAGACCGAGCTGCTCCAAAGTTCGTGGTCCAGGGGGATAGCTTGAGGGAGCCACCTCTGAGACTGGGGTTCTTCCATTGTAAAGCTCTGTCCGCATTGTCCTTGGGGACAAAAAGAGAATCTTGCCGCTGGAGAGGGTACGGCAACCAAGGTTCGACTCATTCCAAAGGTTTTGTCCCCACCTCTCGATGCTTATAAAGTCATCTCGACGGGGTGAGAAACGACCACCAAACTGTGTTGAAATGAGAGACTTTGGGCCGAGATATGCGGCCACTGATATAAAGGAAATGAGGGTTAGCTGGCCTGCCAAAGCTGAGGCTAGGGCGAGGGTTACCGCTTAGAGTCTGGAAGAGGTGCTGGCCTGCAAGAAACGGGGTGAGGGGGGTTGCGATGTAGAGATGAGGCTGCCAGTTTCTGAGGTTGAGCTAGAGGCTGATGCAGCAAGCGTTGGTTGACCGGGCAAGAGGTATCCCAGGCCGGAGCTCTATCCTGAGCCGGCATATTTTTACTTTTCCAGCATGTTCATGCATGGACTCCTGCAGTCGCTCCAGGGTTCACTTTCTTCATTATTATCCAGATTATGTAACCATTAACGAACTGTATTCTTTTAGGTGGCAATTATCCCTGTCTCCAGCTCCAAACTCCACATGCAATCTCCTAAATAAATTAAGGTTATGGAAAGAACTATTTATGCCATTGAAGCAAGGGTGGAAGAAATTACAGCTGAAAATGGAGGGGGACCAAAGATGGAAATATCTATTCCGTAACCCATCTTCATGTATGGAAGAAACAAACTCATGAGGATGAATGCCATCAAATAATGCAAGTACTTCGAAGAAATATTGAGGTTGGCAATAGAATATGTATCATGGCCTAGTTGCAAACACCCTCCAAATCGAGACCGTGGAAGTTGGCTCATTTTTTTGACGAAATTATCCACCTTTGCAGGGATACGCTCGCCTTTTGGAAGCATATATGGAGGGAAGGCAACCAGGCAGCAAACACCCTAGCTAAAGAAGTGGCGACCTCGACTGGGTCCTAAACAACTACTTTTTGGATTGGAAATCGACGCTGGACTATCTTTTGGCTGTTACCTTCACTTAAAAGGCTCTCTTTTTTCTTTTTTGGCTGTAAAACTTCCTTGAGAAGGTTTTTTTCTTTCGATTTTCTTTTGAACTTTGGAGCATCTGCGTTGTGGATTGCCCATCTTTCTAATCAATTTAAGGTTAACATTATCCACAAAAAAAAAAACATTCCAATCGAGACCAAGTCACTAAGTTTTTAAAGGTTTGGGTGTAGTAACCAAATCTGGGGTCCATCTTCAAGGAAAGCACTTCTCAGCCCTTGACCCACAAAATGGTTACTCTGGTCCAATTCCAAAAAAATTAAGACCAGACTTTAGCTTCATCCAAAATTTGCAGCAAGTATTGGAGTTCCCCTGTCCTTTCTTTTATTTAGAGTTTGAAGATAGGATCATTGTCTGCCCCATTTTCTTCAGGGGCAGAAATTTCCTGCAACTTTGTTACCACATCAATGCAATACAGTCACTCGTTCACACACACACACACACACAAAAAAAAAAAAGAAGTGTTATTATGTAATTTATGTTGTTACAGAGTTTTTAGGGGTAAAACTGGAAATTCAATATTTAAGGAGAAGAATTCTAATTAGTTTCGTAAGTAACTCGGGTTTAGGCTACTTGGGGACCAAGTTGCAAAGAGATTTCCTTAAAAATAAATGTTATTGGTCTTTGTAGAGGAGGAGAAGAAGTTGATGGAGTTTTAGTCTTGAAAAAACCATTATTGGGGTGGACACCTTGCAGGCCTAAGAAAGAGCGAATTCTTTCATCTCCTTTCTTTTTCCTATTCTTTATTCTTCTTTAGATAAACCACCGATGCCCGCCCTCACCCGCCCTTTCCTCCCTTCTCTCGGCTACATCAGTAGCTAACTTATCAATATTACCTTTTCAGAGTAGATGTTTCTATTGGACCATCCAAAAACACTAAACACTTTCAGATTTGTCAAGAAATCCACTATGTTAGAAGAACAAGTGATTTTCAGGATACAAGTTCATAAAAACAAGAATCTTTAAATTTTATGGGGTAAAGGGCATGGTATCAAAAGACTGTGATACAAACATTCAAAAGCAGGAGAAATCCCAAATGTATTCTGAAATGAATAATTAGTTCTGTTTTATATATTTCCCAAAAATTCTACTTCACCACTTGAGCAACCCAAACTAGTACACACGCCCACCCCCAACCCCACCACCACCAACAAAAAAAAAAGATCTGTGTGCATAGGGGAACACATGCATTATATTAATAAACAGAAATATCAATCATCAAAAGACATACATATTTATTTAATAGAACGGCATACATTACCTTCCAATGAAGCAATCGAACGCAAGACCAATGTGTAGTATGGAGGCATACGGAATTGATATTCGAAAGCAATTGACAAGATTGTCCCCAGAACCTTCACATGCATGTATGATAGTTAGACAGGAGCAGTTTCAAAGTGAAATGGGTCTTTGAATTAAGATAAAAACCAAATCAATTCAATCATGAACATAAATTATATACAAATGTTGAAATAAATGCATTTAATTTGACGGTTACATCACAGACAGATAAGAATATAGTTAAGAATTTAAGATGTTTATGTGTCTAGGACCAACAGATGTATGTCTTAATGGAATGACGTGTATCAAAAGGGGATGATTTTGAATACTCTGATAGTTTGGGGCTATGGGAAACACCAGAAAAATCGATCCTCAACCTTCAGGAATACAAATTATGTCCTTTTCATTTCTTACAAATGACCCTGCTGATGATAATGACATACAAGGGAAATTGTCACAAAATGACCTAAAAATATGTGTATGTGAGTTTGTGTGTGCGCATTTTGTTAGCTTCAACATGCGTCACCAAAACTGACATCAAGTAACTAAAATTAATTTACTTTTGGAATACGATGGAATTTTTTAAAGTGACACAAGGGATCCTCTTCACAGACCTACCATACATGTAATGAGCTGACAACGTTCCCAATGTGGCATTCAATGCGTCCTCCATGCATATTGGATATCATATATACCATAAAAAATATTATTCTTATTATTTTTATATTACATTACCAAAACAAAAATTACTCAAAACTGATTTGCAAGAAAGGGAAGGGGTTCTCAGTCTAAAATTTATGGAGAATGGTAAAAAGTTCAGCATGCACGGGAAGTTTTGTAGTTAAGATTGAACACAGGTATGTCAAGCACACGCACAAAATATAGGGTCAAACAAATGCCTCTAACATGGTCTTGAAGGATCAGTTTCATATATTACAACGAACCCATTACATGAAATCACTCCACACACCATTGCGTGAAATACACACACTCGTACTACACTACTGTCCATAACTGTAATAGGCTAACATGTCTCACTCACCCGACTGAACTTGATGTCAGGCAGTCCATCCTTCCAGACTACCTCACCTAAGGAATCTTCCAGTTCCTGTTAAGGCCATCAATCTCAGACTATAATATCATGAATTTAGTACAGGAGGGAAATAATGTGGCATAATACTCTTTGCATAGGTCTTTGAATTGTTAAATAAAATGATTTTATTAAATATGACACATAACGCCCATGTAGAGTAAATTGCAACTTGAGAAAGAATTAAGAATCCGATACCATGGTGACAACTTGGACATTTGTTCCTGGCCTTATGATGTCCATTTGAAATAGATCACGCACAAATTCAGACCAGTCCCCATTTACAATGTGAACGATCGAAGCAAGCATTGCAAGCTGATGCCTTTTCTCCATCTGACAAAGCAGACCAAAATCAAGAAACCTGATGAAGAAACATCATAAGTGTCATCAATAAGCTACAACCAAGAAATAATGTGATCTTATTTAGCCACCGAACAGCAAAGAAAAGATTTTAGCCAATCCAGATAAAGATCTCTGTTACTGTTCCAGTATAGCAAACATGTGTCTAAGAGAAATCTTGACATCTAAAAACATTCTTCCACATTCTAGGGTATAAATTTAAGTCAGAGACTATAAAATAAGAAACTAGCATATGTTCACTGAGAATGAGTGCAAAAAGGGTGTCTAGTCAGTTACCCAATTTGTCCGGCACGTGTGTATCGCAGATTTCCAGGGTGTGGATCAGCATGCAACAAGCCTGTCTCCAGAAGTTGAACAAGTGATGCCTCCACTCCTTTGTTAACCTTATTTGTCCAGAAGTAAACAATGAGTTATTCACAAAGTTAATTGTTTGAAATCAAAATCATATGCAATAAATGAACAAAAACAATTCCAGCTGAGTATAATAAGCAGGAACAAGTAATAATGGTTGAAATTTATTGTTGGAACTTCATCTTGTACCCTCTTCTTCTTGCAGCAAGTCTATATGAGCCACTCGGAGTCTACTAACTAACACCACAATGGAGAAAAATCATAAGAAAAATGAAAGTACCCTACGACTATTTTTCTTTCTCTTTTTTCATGTGCCCATGTGTCTAAAGGGAGATACCCAACTAATTTCCAGTGAAGCTTCTAAAAGTATATCTTTATGATGACATTCTCATCTATGAACCAATCTCCACACGTAATACTGTTAATATTCAACAGTGAACTTACCACTATTACATATGAGAAAAATTTACTTGTTCCTCATGTCTCTAGTGCCTCACAATAAACCTAAGAAAGTAGAAATGGAGTTCACAAGCGAAAGACTGGAACATAGAAATTTACAGTTTGCATGAGTTGCGTACTCAAAAGCATTCAAAGTACGAGACTTGTATGCAATCACAACAAAGGAATGCATACAGAAAATTTGTGATCCTCTCCAACCACTTTGCAGGAAAATATCCTACAAAAACAACATACATTGCTACATAACCATATTACCAGAACCCACAAAAAAATCAGACTTTTTACAGGGTAGATAAAGAAAGCCCCGCCAGACTTGATCAAATTACTATCTTGAACACTACAACCTAACAAAAGTCTTGAAAATGTGATGAGAAGAAATTTGGCTATGCATGGACAAGGAACCCTTCAAGATAAATACAGTATTTCTTGTCTGGCCAAGTAAGATATTTCTAGTGATTGATACAAACACAGAATTTCCAGATTGCGAGATCCGCACTGCATTTCGCCTGTGGGGCACCAAAGGAGACCTAATATTTGATCAATTGAGCCTTTTTTCTTTATGTTTTCATAGCAACACCTGTCTTAGGTTATAGCATAAAATGTATCCACACTTTCACTGACTGATTTTGTTGGTCATGAACGGTGCCCTTTTCCTTTTCATTTTTTAGGTTAATACAAACAAGAAGAGCAGAGTTGCATAGAACCAGTAGAATGACTCTCATGAGAACAGGCAATTCTCAATGAGATCACTTTGATTGCAAAGAAGAACTAACAACCTACTTTGACACTCGTTTACATCCCCAAACCTATGAATATATGAATTACATTCATTGGTTAACAACCCTATCTCATAAAAAATATTGGAAAGAATGCAAGAAAAAATAAACTAATGGTGAGAAAGCTTCTCATCAACAAAAATAAAAAATATGAATGGTTTGTTTATTCACAGAAAAAAATGTTTACTTAGCATGCAATATTCAATCAATATGGTTTTGACATGGAAGCCCATTATTGAGAACAGACTATATTGGTGCTCAACAAACATCAGTTGAGGGATGCAGCAATCAAATCCCTTGATAGAAGGGTTTCAAAGGGAAACAAATGAGTTATAACATTTAAGGTATTATTGGTGATTACTGACCAGATCAAAGAGACATTTTCTAGCCTCTAGCTGCTGTTGCTCTAAATTCCCAACACTCTGATAGTTCAAGCCTTGAGATAATAAAAGTAGCTCATTAGGTTTTTCGCCAGCCAACCATTCCATTGTTATGACTCTCTTTCCACTCAAGTTGGTGAACACTTTTGGAACTGCCATGAATGGGAATCGAGCGTGAACCTCCTGTAAAAGCCAGAAATATAGAACTTACAAGTTTATAAAGTTGACATGTACTGGATATACCACATAAGGCGATGCCACTCATAGACCACATTTAATCTATCCTCCATTATATAAGTTTACAGAAAATATGCCATTCTATATATATTATGGCATATAAAACTGAACTAATTGACCTTTCAGATGTAGAGCAGACTCATGTAAGCATGAAGATTAGGTGCCTATGAAGTATAATGACAACAGTTGAAACATTTCAGTAGAAATTAAAGAATGGTAAGGAAGACGAGATGCATTGACCACTTAATGCATAGACTGCTCGGTTCAACTGCTGTACATGACACATTACGTCACATTCTACCAATAAAATGTTTCCTTATGCACCACTCATCGATCTGCATCAATAACTGCCTCACTTCCCCAAATTGAAGCACTCTGGCAATCACTAAGAGAAGGATCTCATAAAATGGAACATGCAATATAAAAAACAAAGAAAAACCCATAAGAGAAAGCTCCGAAATGTGCCAGCTGGATGTGGGTTTACTGACAAGAATACTCAAGTAGCACATGAAAGGGGAATTCATGTTGACTTCACGATTGTCTAACAAGTTTACATGGAACAGTCAAAACCACAACACGAGATGCCCCCATCACCCTTGGGCCAATGTGTGTCGCCCGGTTTATTTGAGGGAGGTCAAGGGTTCAAATCTCGAAGTTCATTTGTCATGAAATCCAAGGCAACTTACCAAAATAATCCCAAAGGATATTTCATAATTCGATCTCTTCTAATATTTTGAGTCTGCCGTCTCATAAAATGTTTCTCTATCTCACACTAAAACGGTTAAATGGGAATAATCAAGACCTATACATTTGGTAATTTTCCACAAACAATGATAATCCAATCTTAGTATAGAGATCTTTTTGAAATTCTAGTCATAGATATGATACCACATATTTTTTGAGAAATAGATATTATACTGCAATGGCCAATGAGCAATATGTTTGGGTGTGTTTGGATCACTTATACTCCAGATAGAACTCAAACAGAACAAACCGAGACCAGAAATTAGTGAATATCATAGCTCTATTCCGTTGATTTTGGGTACAAAACCTTCAAATCAGTAGGAAATGATTACTGGGAATTGATGCATGGAGCTGACTTCAGTTGATGCCTTATGGGCATTAAGAGAGCTCACCAATGCTTGCATCTGGATATACAGTCTCATACCGTGGTCCGTGGTCAATTCAAAACGAGCACCTTAATGTTTTTCTTTGAATCTGATATTTGGAAGATCATTAAAGCTTTGCTTCAGAGACCTATGCTCCAAATTTCATATGATTAGGAATTCAAAAGCTGCATTCAGTAAAGTTTGCCGCAGTCTATTGTCTGGATGAATGCCAACTGCAGCAAAAATTTGACAAGTTACATATTGATATGAAATTGAGCCGAAACTTTGGTAATACATAAGAAAAGGGTTCATAAACATGTGGTTTAAATTTCATACAATTTGGACACCATTAAGGACATCTGCCAAAAGTTTGTCATCATAAACTTTAGTCAGGCCTAGCTGCCAACTGCCATGAAATTCAAATGGTAGAAATGATGTTCATTTTATCTAGAATTTTGCAAGGAAAATGAGGAATATCCCAGAAACTTTCTGTCCAAATTTCATAGGATTTTCAACACGATTTGAGGAGTCAGCACGATCCTCAATCTGGTCTATATGCCAGACTGCAGCGAGTTTTTTAAAATTATGTTATGCACGTCCAATTGATTTTATGAATTGAAGATCCGTTAAAGAAGGTTTCATGGGTGTATTGGTCAAATTTCATACAATTTGGAGATCGATAATGGCACCTATGAAAATTCCCTGCATCTAACATTTCGTCTAGCTACCAGACTGCAGTGAAAAGTAAGGTTTGATGTTTTTAAGCTCAACTTCGATGTGGATATCACTGAGATTGTTGAGACATCCTTTTCAGTAAGGTTTATGCTTCTGAGATGAGTTTTAAACAGGTCTGCAATATGCAACAGATACCATGGTGATCGATGTACTTTCAAAGAGTAAAAATCTGTGAATTTTCAGCATGAAATTCAACGAAAATCGATTGAATTTATTCCTCTCTGGCTGCCCAATCAACATATACTGGCATCAGAATTGTAGAACTTAACAATTTTTAGTGACCTGACGATGAAATCAATTGATTTTCATGCCCTGCTGCCAGACTGTATTCACTCTGGCAGGCAGGCTGTCTGAAACTTCTTGATCCGAATGTCCTGTGATTTGGTGTTTGGATAAGCTTGGATTCACAAGTTCCCTATCCTTTCAATTCCAGAGCCGAGGTAAATTTCTAGGGAACACAGATTTGGACGAGGATACACTTCTAAATTGAATTAGGAGTTTATCTGCTCCTAGAATTCTCAGCCTCTATACAAGTGGACTTACAGAGTGAGCAGTACTGGTAGCTAGCTTACTAGTATTCGCCAAACCAATGCCAAAGTTGTCTAGCGTCAGAGATTTGATCTTTTGCAATTCTCAGCAAGCTACTCATTTTAATCTGTAATTTTTCTTTCCTTTGTGTCTCTGTAAAAGATTTGTAAACCCTGATCAAGGGTCTTTCAGGTTGATGTGAAGTATAGAATAACAAAGAAAGAAGGTACCTGGGGTTCCTTGGAACTCTTCGTACCCAGCATACTAAAAGAAGACGAAGAAAAAGCTCTTGATTAATGAATTCAAGGGTGTAATTTATGATGTGATTCATGTGCTTTTGACTATGGTTTTGTTTGTCTTTCCAATGGAGTTCTCTTGTGGAACTGCTCAAAGTACACATTCAATTCACACATAATGGTGTAAGTAAATATTCCTGAGTGTTGGCATATTACTTTATTGATAAGGTTTTATCTAAAGCATTAGCACATTCTGAGCCAAGCATTAGAGGTATTAGATAGTTATGATGGAACAGGAACTACGCAAACTATTTAATTACAACCATTTTAATGAAATTTTAAGGAATTCATGCAGAAAAAATATCCAAGAAATACTGGAGCTTTTTAATTTAACTGCAATATTCGTACTCTTCACGCCATAATGTTCACAATTAGAAATATATAGCATAACACGCTTGAATTTCCATATATGTATGCGTCTGTTTCTGCACATGCATACATTTATACATAGAGAGAGAGAGAGAATACTGAAATGAAAATTTTAATGCGCTACTCATAAGTAGTTCAAGTTCAGACAAAATTATGTGTGCAGGGAAAACCACAAGAAAGAAATTCCAGAGGATACTCATGGTTAAACAAGTTTAGCTCAATTCATGGGACATTCTCTGCATAGTTATTTCACCTTTTTGTCTGCCTCTTCCCTTCTCTCTGCCCGCTCCCTCTCTCTCACTTGCCTCTCCCCACCCTCTCCTTACTGTCCTTCATTCTTTCACTTTCCATCTCATCCCACCAATCTATCTATGTGTGTAGCCTTTTCTTTTGTATGTATCTATTTTACCCCTTGGTGCAACTTGATGTATATATTATTCTCTATCAATAAAAAGTCGATGATGATGAATAATAGTAATAACGACAATAACAACAGGAACAATGATAAGTATAATAATAATAACGCAGGAAGAAGGAAATTGTAGCTGTTTAAGCATCGAAAACATGACATACCCGGAATTCAGTGGCATTTGCAGCCTCTAGAGTGTAGTCCAACTCCCCAAGTAAGCCTTTCCCAATCTCGTCAGCATATAAACAAAGATCACTCTTTCTTTTTGCCACTTTCCTCAATAACCCTAACTGCAGTAGCCCATAACTTTTAAAGTTTGTCCATATGATATCACCAAAAAATCAACTATGCAGAGAATAACAGTATGCTAATAGGTTTACAGCCTATACAACAAATTTATTCTTTTTCACAAAACAAAAACTACCTTGCTAAAGTTTGTATTTTAGAAAAAGCTAACCAAAGATATAGCCAAAATTCAAAAAAAAGTGAACACAATGTAGGCACAGAGACAAGAATCACACATAATGACAGCAATACTGATTCGCTGATTTCAGGACCCCTTAAAAACAAGAAGTGTAACAACCATAATGGAACAGAAGCTAGTATTGATTGATTTACCATGAATCATGTTCCAAATTGTGAAAATAAACAATTGTAAGAACCATGAAGATGAATTACTGAGAGTTCAAAGCCATCTAAACAGAGGAATTCTACTCCAAGAGCCAGAAGATAGCAAACTCCTCCCAGAAACACGAGAGAAAAAAAGCTTCCTCCCATTCGCATCATCAGATCATAGAAAAAAAGCTTCCTCCCATATGTGTTGATAGGATAAAACAAAATAAACTATTCATGTAGAGGGAAGAAACTATAAATGCACAAATAATGATTGTACAGGTCTTGGACATAACGTACACCAAGGCGGAGAAGGTAGACATCTCGCAGTACAACATGATTCAATCTAGGCCGTTGAACTTTTACAGCAACAGTCGAACCATCTAAAGTACAGGCACGATAGACCTGGAAACTAGCCAGCAATACCAACAATGTCAGAAGTTAATTTCTTAATAAATAGGCACAAAAAGCCACTTACTGATTTAATAATCTTTGTAATGCAAAAAGAGAAAAAGACATATAAGACACAAAAGAAACTCAAGTTGAACTAAGAGAACAATGTTCCCACACAGAGGCTTGCAAACTCTAATCAGAAATTGACATTCAACATTTAAAAAACACCAATATCCTCAATAAATTAATATCTTATGAAATTAATGACTCATTTCAATGCATGACAATCATAATACAGTCAATTAGGGGTAGGATGTTCCATTAGTTCAGTTTATGCACATTGTATCATCAAATGAAGAAAAGTAATAGCTTTCTGTAATAAAGAGAGGCCTGACATAAGTGAAAATCGCAATCTACATAAATGAAGACCTATTCATAGCATAACAGGAAGTGAGAATTTGAGCATAACTTGGGAAAGGTAAACATCATGACAATCAATCTAGTAGCAATGGAGATCCGACAAGGATCTAAGAAATCTGGAGATGAAGAAGCAGAGACGCCGGCGTCTCCCTCCCTCCTCTCTCTCCTCTAGCTACTGGAGTGTTATCTATGACCTCTACCCCAAGCCCTCCCGCCTTTCTCCCGTCCTCCTTCCAAGGCTCTACCCCCCCTCCGGGCCTTCGGTCCCTCGCTCTCTGCACTGAAGAAGTTAGAAGTATCTCCACTAGCCTCTTTTCAAGTGCGTTCAGAGGCTCCCACCACCTCTTTCCTTGCTTCCTACTCACATGTAACAGCTCGCCCCTCGTCTTCTACTGCTCCCACTGCTTCATCAGTGGGCATAAAGGGGATTTCTTCCACTCCCTGCAAGGCCTCCCCTTTTTGCCCCTTCTTCGTCTCCATCCCCCCTGAAGAGTCCTCCCTTCTTGAAGCCAAATTCCTAGCCTCTCTGGTTGGCACGTTCCAGCCCCCTCGAGGTGATGCGAGAGGCATAGAAAAATGGGCTCAAAGCAACTGACAGGACCCAAATATCACAGCCGGGCCTATCTCCGGTGGGGACTTCCTTTTTTCCTTCTCGTCTATAGAACAAGCCCGCCAAGTGTCACAGAACTCCCACCCCCTAGCCTTCAAAGGGGCTAATCTCGGGCTTCGTGAGTGGACCCCTCTGGAAGGTGCCTTCAGAATGAAAAAAATTTGGCTCACCCTACACTACTTGCCCCTCCATGCGTGGTCTACGTCCACGTTTGGGAGAGTGGCGGAAGCCTGTGAAAATCTGATTTCAATCCACTGGAAGTCCATTGAAACCCTCCCTCTTGGGTCCATCCGTTTGCTCGTGGAAGTTCTGGATACAAAGCTCATCCCACCTAGTGTGTGGATAGAAGCTAATAACCTCTTCTACCCCATCTCTCTCTCCTGGTCGGAAGCTTCCTCCCCCCCGGCCAATTTCCTTGATTCTCCGACTTCTCCCGTGGTCAAGGGTCCTTCAACCTCTGCCTGGACCACGGTTTCCCGGAATCCTAGCCATCACCAGCGGCGTCACAGCCACCAACCCCCAGTTTTCGCCCGTCTCGAGTCGCGACGGTCCCAGATCCTTTGCACTTCGCCCCTCCTGGCAACCACGTGGCGCACCCTTGGGTCTTGCCTCCACCCATACTCCACGCCCCCCCGCCCCCCGCACCCCACACCACCACAGGAACCTCTTTTGGAGCTTCCTAATTCTGGTTCCCCACCTTGTTCTCTTACTTTTCAAGATCTACCCAGAACTTCTACAGCACCCACCTCTCCTGCAACCATCTCTCGCCCCTTGGCTGCAGCGGAAGCCGAGAGGGTCGACAAGAATGGGGACCATAGGATGGCAGATAGAATGAAGTATATGTACCAGGTTATAGGTTTCGAATACTAGAGCCCGGAAGGCCCGACGCACATGTTCTTGCAAGCAGATGCTCAAAGTCGAGCCGAGGTGAGCGCAAAAGGTCAAAGAGAGCTGCTAAACCTCTTCTCCTCTATCAGCTATGACAAACACCCTACTTGTGCCTTAACGCCTTCCGCCACACCGCTTATTTCTCCATTGAGGCAATCAGCTAGGATTGCTTCCCCTGATGTCCCTCCTTCTACCAATGCAGATCCTTTCCTGAAATATTAGAGGGTTGGGACAGAAGTCCAAAAGGGACACTGTCAGGGATTTTTCTATCAAACTTAGCCCTGCTATCTTAGCCTTAACAAAGACCAAACAAGCAGAGCCAACCTCCGGTTAATCCGCAGTGTGTGGGTTAGAAGACCCTGCCAATGGGTTAACTTACGGGCGAAAGGGGCTTCAGGAGGCATCTGGGTGCTTTGGAACCCAACCGAGTACCATCTCCATTCCTCCCACATAGGAGCCTTCTCTGTTACGGTCCTCCTCTCTAGGGGTCTCAGATGGCTTTCCTTTCAAATTCTCTGCTATTATGGGCCCAGCTCCGTTTCCCTCCGTCCACGTCTCTGGTCTGAACTTGAACTGGTCGCCTCTTGACCCCACTCTGCGTGGTGTTTGGGTGGTGATTTCAATATCACCAAGTGGTCCTTTGAAAGGAATCTCAATCCAAACATCTCACAAGGAATACTCGACTTCTCTGACTTTGTCTCTCGCCATGAACTTTTAGACATTCCTCTCCAAGGGAATGGTTTTACTTGGTCAAACCATTCAGCTCAACCTTCCCTTGCTAAGCTGGACCGTTTTCTACTTTCTCTGGATTGGGAAGCTGCCTGCCCTGGCTCCCATGCCCTCACTCTACCTAAACCCACCTCGGACCACTGCCCCATCCTCCTGAACACCCTGGCCATTCGAAGGGGCCTGAAACCTTTCCATTTCGAACTGGCCTAGCTAGAAGAACATTCCCTTTCTGACCTTATCCCTAGCTGGTGGTCCTCTTTCTCATTCCAAGTATCGGGTAGTGCAGGTTTTAAGCTTCAATCCAAACTCCAACTTCTGAAAAAATCTCTCAAAATTAGGTGCAAATCTTTACCAGGTAACCACTCCCAATCAAAAAACTCCCTGCTCAATTCTATCCAAGAGCTCGATGGGGTAGAAGAGTCCAGACCCCTCACTGGTACAGAACCTAACCTTAAAACACAATACAAGCTGGACTACTTTTCTACCCTTAAGAAAGAAGAACTCTTCTGGTACCAGCGATCCAGAGTCAAGTGGCTTAAACAGGGGACCTAAACACAGCTTTCTTTCACCGAATAGAAATTGTAGTAGAAGAGACAATACGATTTCCACCATCAGAGTGGACAATCGTTTTTTGACTCAGCCCGATGAAATAGAATCTGCCTTACTTGTTTACTTCAAGTCCCTCTACACTGCCCCTCTAGACCTCAGACCTAGAATGACTACCTTGGACTTCTTAACTCTTCTTGCTTAGCGGTCACAGTGGTTGGAACGACCTTTCTCTCAAGAGGAAATCGTCTATGCTATTGACCAACTTGCCAAAGATAAAGCTACGGGGCCGGACGGCTTCCCAGTCGCCCCCTTCAAATCCTTTCAGGATGTCGTTTTACCTGATTTCAGTAGCTTCTTCAAAGAATTCTACCATAGGGGGATCCTCAACTCAGCGATAAACGCTACCTTTATTGCTCTTGTTCCCAAAATTGAAGGCGCAGAGGAGCTCAAGGACTTTTGCCCCATTAGCTTGCTTAATTCCTCATGCAAAATTCTGACGAAGGCTTTAGGCTCAAGACTTAAGCTCGTCCTCCCTCTGATCATCTCTCTGTCTCAATCTGCCTTCATCCAAGATAGGCAGATTCTGGATGGGACAATGATTGCGCATGAGTGTCTCCACTCAAGGCACTTATCCAAGTAGCCAGGTCTAATTTTCAAAATCGACTGGGAAAAGGCTTATGACCACGTCGATTGGTCCCTACTAGACGAAACGATGGCTAGGATGGGCTTTGGTAACCGGTGGAGAAAATGGATGCAAGGATGCATCACCAACCCCATTTCTCTATTCTTATAAATGGGAGCCCGAAAGGTTTCTTCCCATCCCCGAAGGGCCTTCGCCAAGGAGACCCCTTATCCCCCTTTCCCTTCGTAGTAGTCATAGAGGTGTTCAGTAGGTCCATCTCCCGCCTTTATCAGAAAGACCTTCTTTCAGCCTTCCAATGTAGCAAGGCCCCTCGGTGTCTCATCTGCATTTCGGTGTCTCATCTGCAATATGCAGATGATACACTAGTCTTCCTTGACACTTCCCCACAGGAGATCGACAACCTGAGGCTGTTTCTCATTTGTTTTGAGACTGCCACGGGATTTAAAGTTAATATGAATAAATCAAAGATGATGGGGGTGGGTCTCATGAGTCAAGAAATCAGAGCCCTTGTTCCTTCTTGAGACTGCAAAGTAGAGGACCTCCCCACCACCTACTTGGGTATACCGTTGGGCTTGGGGAAGCCCAAAAAGAGACAATGGGCTCAAATTATTGACAGAGTGGATAGGCGCTTGGCCGGCTGGAAAAGGAGGTTTCTTTCCCTGGCAGGCCGCTCTACGCTAGTCAAAGCCACTCTGGCCAATGCCCCGATCTACTTAATGTCCATTTCCACATGCCAGCCTCGGTCGCTAACAGACTGGACCAGCTCATGAGAAACTTTCTTTTGGGACACAGTCCGACTACCCAAATCCCAAGGAGGGCTAGGTATCAAGAACCTTAGAAAACAAAACCTGGCACTGCTAGGGAAATGGTGGTGGAGATTGGCTACTCAACCAACTCCCTCTGGGCACAGGTCATTCGCAACAAATACAAGATCCCCGCTCATAAGTGGGCACCTGACAGGACCTCCCGCAGTAGGGCCTCTGGTGCCTGGAAGTCCTTTGCATCCTCTCTTGCGCTTTTCAACCAATCCATCTGCTTCCACCCTAAAGAAGGTTCTAGAGTGCGCTTTTGGTCCGACCTTTGGATTGGACATGCCCCTCTTAGGGATCTTTTCCCCTCTCTTTCACCTCTCCGCCAACAAAGATTCAACCATCGCTGAAGAGATGGTCCTATTAGGTGGCAGAAGGTCTTGGAATCCCTCTTTCAGAAGGAACTTAACCAAATAAGAGACTACACTCTTCATCTCTCTGTCCACTGCCTTACACCTCATCTTCTTATCTTCCTCAGGGACTGACTCACTGGTATGGACTCTCTCTCCCTCATGTATCTTCTCAGTAGCCTCCTTCTACAACAAACTCATTCAACCCCCTACTTACCCACTGAACCCCACTTCCGTTCAATCCAAAGTCTGGTCAACCATAGCTCCTCCAAAAGTTCAAACCTTCAATGGGATAGCTTGCTGCCAACGGGCTCTCACAGTCAACCACCTTCAAAGAAGAGAACTTCCGCTTCCAAACAGATGCAGTTTGTGCCTGCACGAGGAAGAGACTAACCCTCACCTTTTCCTACATTGCAGCCTGGCTTTTGAACTCTGGAGCCGTATTCTTCAGCTGTTTCAAATTCATTGGGTTCTTCCACCCTCGGTCAAGGCCCTCATTTCCTCCTATCCTGGCTACCATTGGCCTAAGACCGGCAGAACTTTCTGGAAGTCAGCAATCGCTGCAACCATTTGGGTTATTTGGATAGAGAGGAATGAGAGGGTTTTCCAAGGCTACAAAAGAGAAGTTCTAGTGCTATTTCAAAAGGTTACGTCCTTAGTAACCTTTTGGGCTTCATCTCACAAGGATTTTGTAGGGATCCCTTCTAACACCTTTCTCAGTCAGTGGGACAATATTTTGAACCTCCAACCTCACAAGAAACAAAGACCTCACAACTGGTTGGCCCCTCCAGTCAACGCCATCAAACTCAACTTTGATGGTTGTTCACTGGGAAACCCAGGGCCATCAAGGGCAGGAGGGGTATTTCGTGATCACAACAGCAATATTCTCCTCACCTACTCGAAAAATGTGGGACATGGAGATTCCCAGTTCGCTGAAGCGTTGGCTCTCCTGCTGGGTTTTAAAAGATTCAACCCCTCTTGGGGCCAACTCTTGGTGGTGGAAGGAGACGCCCAAAACATCATCTCTTGGGCAGCAGGCACCTCCCCTTCTCCTTGGTACCTCTCCATGATTTTGATGATATTAACCATATATAGAGGGATATAAACGTCTTATGGAGGCATCCTTGGCGGACGTCGAACAAGCTCGCTGATCTTCGTGCTAAAGAAGGAGCACAGGCAAGTGTAGAAGACCCCGACCGGTCCATCTCCTTGTTTGCTCTAGACCACAGAGGCTTCCCAGGACTATAGTTACCTTTCCTTTTTATTGTACTCGGGCGTCTCTTATAAGCCTTTTTTGCTACACTATAATTTTTGTAATCTGGCAAGACAGGGCCGGTTTTTTTGTAAAGGGTCTTCGGACCTATTTTTTTGACCGAGGTACCCACCTTGTGGGTACTCGAGGTCCTCTCTTTCCCCCTTCACTTGTACTCTCCCTCTTACAGCAATACGAAGTTAACATTATCAAAAAAAATATCTAGTAGCAATGAATTCCTTCGGTATTTAGTTTACCTTAACATATGTCAAGTAATTCTTTCTCCCATATGAACACCCACCTGACCAAATGAAGCAGCAGCAACAGCTTCTTCAGAAATGAAATTAAAAACACTGTCCACAGGAGAGCCTAATTCTTCCTCAATAATCTTCATGGCCATGATCCTAGAAAAAGGAGGAATTTGCTCATGCAGCTCAGACAATACCTGCCAAATAATTCTCAATAAAACAGCTAGTCTCAAAAACAAAAATTAATAGAACATGCATCAAAGCTAGTTGTAGACAACAACACGTATATTAGAAGATTCCGGAGCATACACAGAAAACAAAAACATGTGCCATCTTAATTCCATAAGCAACTGCAGTGACCAAAAACATTACGGTTAGAAAAACGAACCATATTCACGGTTCAATGTATTTCCTGTATACAATATACCATAAAACAAGTTTTGATGTAATACTCCAGTAAAATTCACTGAGTCATATAGACAGATAGCACAAATATAGCACCCTTCGGATACACACCACAATTATAAGCAAAGAAAGAATGACTCAAATATACCTTACACAATGATGTATGTGTATCCCTAACTACTATGTTTCACATGTCAAAAAATTCACAAAAGAAAAACACTAGGTACTGGAACAGAGAGAAGCATAAGTTTTTTCTTTTTCTAAATAGAAAAGCATGAATTATTATATTATACATATTCATATAAGAGCCTTAAACCCTCGTTCAGTATATATAGAAGAGAACTTACAATTTGCAAGCTTCATAGGTAAAACAAATTATTATTCACAAGCAAATGAATGAGCAACATAAAGCAACAACACTTGGTCACAAACCTTGCAAATTTCAGAACCAATTATGTCTGGCCTGGTTGAAAGTGATTGCCCAACTGCATTAGGAAGCAAATGCATGTAACTAGCATATTTGGCAGTCTCGTGACTGCAAACAAAAAGAATAGCCACAAGAGATATAAAAGGAAAAAAATAAAAAAGATAAAATGTGAAAACTTTGTTGGTCAAAGGCGAGAGTATAATGCAAAAAAAATCAAATAAACATAAGCATTATAGTAAAGGTTGAACTGCATCCCAAGTCCTAACTCCCAAAGATATTCACTCTCACCTTTCACAAAAGTTGGTCCAAGATTTAGCATCGCTTCTTTCAATAAGGTCCCCATGTAATATTGTGATTGATTTCTTCCATCATTTGGCTCCATGCGAGATCCACGTGATTTAAAAATTGCCGAGGTTCTCATTTTGATTGCGGCAGATGCAAATGAAAAAAATACCTTCAAATCACCACTTTGTCAGGATAGAACTCCTTTTGCATTCTTAGGTTTCCTAGTTACCCAGAAAATAATCATGATAAAACCAGTAAACGTGGCAGAAGCTCCATTGTTATGCAATTGAATCAACACTAAATCAACAACCACTCATCACCTCCAAAATCAAACAAGTAACAATACACAACTAAAAGAGAGAAGGATGTGATATGTTTTTATATTTACGATAAATAACATATTTACAAGTCAAGATTAGAGTCAGAGGAAGTTACATAAAAAGATTACATATGTGCTGTATTTCAAGTGGCAACATGAAAAGAATTTTATGGGCTTAATTTTGAGGAACTACATGATTGATAGTTATCGAAAATCTTAGTTTAGTTTGAGAGAATGAACCTCTGCCCCTGATTTCTTTGGATAATTAACCACACCCATTAAAGAAAAAAAAAGGTCCATGCCCCAGGTATAGAGTACTGATAGTGGTTAGTTGTAAGAATAATGAAGCAACTTCATCCACGACAAACTGAGAGGGGAACTACGTCTACATCAGAAATACTACAGACGGAAACAGTGGTAGGATTAAGAAGTCAATAATCATTTGAATTGTGTTCATTTCCATTTTCTTCAAGAATGGTAGCCATGAATAGAAATTTAGCTAGTTGGTTACAACTTTTAGTTGCAAACTTTGGCCATAAATGTAGATACAAAAACAATCAGCCAAAATGAGTCCAATAAGGCGCTTCATGTCAATCTTTTAGAAGTTGAACAATGAATATGAATTTAGCAAGTTTGGAAATAATTATTCACCACATTAATACCAGAGCATCTCCAGTAGTAAAAGAAACAATTTAGGGCTTTTTAAGGGGAAAAAAAAAACATGAAATTAGATTTCTAAGATTTTGGACCTTCTCAGTTTTTATTTTTTATTTTTTATTTTGGACCTTCTAATTTTAGCCTTAAATGGGAAAATGACTAATTTGCCCCTGTTTATAAAAGTGTAGTTCTTGACCTTTTTTTTCTATTTTTCTCTTTGCCTTTGGTTGCCATTTCTGCACCTAACAAGAAGTGGCCATGGTGTAGAGTTTGACACCATATGTGCAACTAACATCCCATGGTGTTCTTTCTCTTTTAAATAAGAAATCCAAATCATGGGTTCTCATAGTTTCAGGATCAGATCCAGATTCTTCAACAAAGAGCACCTCCTCAGTAACCCCACTTTTTATTAATGCTCCCTGGCCTCAATCTCATAGTCTACTTTACGTCCCAAATCTTAATTCCAGGTTCCCAGACCCTAATGGTAAGGTCCTAAGCCTTAATTTCATGTTCAGTGTCCCTAATTTGAAGTCTCACTCCCTAAAATCTCTCTATAAGTTCACCTCCATTCCAGGCTCACAAACATGTCGCCTTCATTCGACGCTCACAAAACCAAATGACAGCCCTGATATGGGGCTTGGAACTCCATCTCTCTCAACTTCTAAAGCATACCATCCGCCCTTTATCTTTCTCTTAAAGCAATCTTCTCTACATCTCTCTAATCTTCCTAGGGAAAATGTCTCTCTCATTTCCTGCTCTCCCCTCTTGAGGAAAAATGCTCAACTTAGGGGGAAAAAAAAGAAAATAAAGGGCTTTGGAGCTCTGATTTAGACTCCTCAATGGTCACGGCGGCAAGGAAAGAGGAGGAAATATACAACGAACAATTTAGCGGCAAATTAGTCAGTGGCCCCTTTGAGAAATCCAACTTGGATGGAGAGAGCCGAAATCCAAAATGAAAACCTCGAAGGTCCAAACTCTTAAAAAAATAATCACATATATTATTTTTTTTCTTAAAAAGCCCAAGAATATATTATGGAACTTGCTAAAGAAAGTCCTTTGCTAGACTTTCCGACATGCACTTCTCCATGTTGAGTCTTCTAGTTGTTTTTGTTTAACTTACTAGGAGACTTGGTACAACTAAGATGTTACAATGTACACATATTGTGTTTATGGATCTTGCATTTTTCCGATATTTTAGCTTAGCATAAAAGTTCATCCTTGTCTCTCTCCAATTCTAAGACAACTTTAATGATGTAAAAATGTAATATGGATCTTGTTTTATATGGCCTATGGTGGGCCAGAAATCCTCCTCCGCTTTTAACAATTAACACAACATATTAGTCTATAACAACTCAATGGAGCAAATGATTTCAGTGATGATTAAACTAAAAGTCCAAAACCAACATTTTGAATAAGTTCATAATCAATGATCATTCATAAGCGAAAACAGCTCTTCACTACACTTAATTGCAAAGCATATATTAAAACCACATAATTTTTAGTGCATTCAAATTGAAGGAATACTACTTATAGTGGGTGCTAGATGATTCATAAATAGAAGTACCTCAATTACTCGGAAGATTAGGACATGAAGCCTGCAGCTAAAATAGTCAGCTACCAGCTCTGGATCATAGGTTTCTGGGAGGGGAATATGCCATATTCTGGAAGCATGTCTTAAATAATCAGCATATTCCCCCAAAGCTTTAAGATCAGCAAGCAATAACTCCAGACCAGTGAGTCCTACAATAATTTTGTCAAAAGTTGATCCAGCTCCCCAATTTATTTTTTTTAGAGAGATAATGGAAAGAAAATAGCTCTGTCGCAAAGAAGTACAGCGACGAATGCGTGTTTGGGTGAATGCTTGTGTATCAACTTTAACAAGAACCAACCTAATAACAAGTAATACAACATTTCAACTGTCCATGAATGCATGCCTTAGAGCCATGGTAGAAGTTATTCACATATGAGTACAGCATAAAATTGTTCGCATTTGCTTTTAACTACAAAAAAATGTTGTTAATTTCAGCCAATTATAATTCAACCATCCCTCACAGTATAAATAAATTTAATGCTAGCATATTCCTAAATGTTTTTCACAAAATTTGAAAATAAATAGGAAAAAGGCATCCCTGCCATCAAAACTGTTTTGTAATTAAGATGAGAAAGAATTTGAGCATCCAAAGAAAACAACTCCTATATCCTCCAAAGAAAATGGCACAGCCTCGAACTGTGCTGCAGCATAAGTGTAACACGAAACAGAGAAGACACGATGTCTAGAGAGAAAGAGAGAGAGACGACATGGAGTCTAGAGAGAGAAAACACGAGAGTACCTGAGTACCAAGGCTGGGGCCATAGGAGAGGAGGTAGAGGGGCTTTAAGAGATGGATCCTCGAAATTGCGAAGCCATATAGCGTCCTCGACATGGTTGAGGAGGTTAGGATTAGGGTTAGGGTTAGGGAGAGGGAGTTTGCTCGCCACCAAATCCAACCCTTTCTTCAAACACTGAGCGTCATTTTTAATGATTTGGAGCAT